AAGAAGTTCCTCCGCCCAATCATGTGCTCAAAAAGTATGGGTTGATAGAGAAGTCGTGCACAGAAATATTACCGGCAAAAGATGCCTACGTTGAAAAAGGAGAGTGTCGTCTTTGTGGTGACAATATTGAAAAGGTTCGCTGGATCATTTCCGGACACAACGCCACTTTAAATTTCATTACTTATAATATGGCCAATATTCAGCTCACGCAACTAGTTCGATGCCTTTCTTGCGCTGCACATTTTCACGCTAAATGTTTAGCCGTGAAGAGCTTGAATAACGAGCGACGGCTATATCCTGTGCAAGGGAATTGTCCTAGGTGAACACTACAAAGATTCGGTTTTAGTTTTACATGTGTCATTTCGTTGTGCACCTATTGCTAGCTTATAGTGCTTCACTTCAGTTGCTGTCGAAGCTATCTCTGGGGTGACATTATTAGAGACCAGCGGATGATCATACGTGTGAGCGAGGCTCAGACCGACACTTCGTTGAAGAATTTGGTTCCCCGATTGGTAAAAGACTGAGCGCATACGAGTCATTGTCTAGGAAGCGACTTCTGTGGAAAGCTCTCGACACTACTTTTCGTTTAATTTTGTTATATTCTGTCTTCGTCCTTTCATTACTAGTGATTGCTCTGTGATATCCGGTATTGATTTCCTTTTGTTGTTATAGAGATTGAATACTTCTCATCCATATTATTCACAACCACATCTCTTCTTCCTACAATTTGTTGTCTTTCTCGTGTATTCGTGAGTTAGGGTGGTCAACTTGTGGGCCGTCTCATATGTAGTTTGAGCTCGGACCTATTGCACACTGAAACTGCAAGGCGGTCGCAATGTATGACCCCTTAGGTACCGCTTGTTCAATGCGTGTTCGAGACTGTGAATTTCCCTTCACTGCCGCTGCCAAATTGGTTCCAGTGATATATTCTGATCGTCAGTGCGATGCTTCACCTAGCGTAACTGTGGCCAGCTCCATTTTCTGCTCGTTACTTGTCTTCTTGTTACATATACTGGTGGACGTGATTGTTACTTATCGGCCGACGTGTACTGTATATCTCATTTTTGCAATAAATTCTTTTGCACAGAGCTTGCGTTCTTGTTTCTGCGTGTCATCGCTAGATACCGCTCTCCTTTCATTGTCTGCAATTCGCAGCGTCGTTTGTAATATGTTGAATTCAGTGAGCAATGATTATTCCAATTCGCTGCTTCACATGTGGAAAAGTGATCGGTAACAAGTGGGAGGCTTACCTCGGTCTTCTACAAGCAGAATATACAGAAGGTGATTACAGTTTTATGATATACGCGTTTCCTTTTTTAAGGATACTTTGTAATATTGAAATATTGTCAAGCTTTCTCTCAGAGCCATGGTAGTGTAGCTGAAAGCTTTTCGTATTTTGCTTCCTTTGAAATTGATAATACGAATTAAATATGCGTAATATACGGTAATATGAGCCGTATTGCGACAAGTTAGGATGGAGGTTGGCCGGCGTAAGCACTCGAAGTTGACGAACCACACACAAGAAAATCAAAAAAGAACGCTCGTGAAGGTGGATTATTAAGATTTTAAAGCACTGCTCTTTTTTGGTCGTACACGACGTACAGCAAAGTAAGTACGGCGACAGTGATCAGACCTATAGCTGTTCGCAGCTGTTGCTAGAGAGAGCCGTCTGGCAAGAATCAGATTTAGTTCTATCTACTGAGACGATCATTTTCTATCATTCTCGAGGCAGTTCAATTAGTATGGAAACGAGTCAGGCCAAAACTCGTTTAAAGAATATAAATTTACTTATTCCTATGGGTTTCCGCTCTCCGCTGTTAAGTCTGACGGTTTAGGTGATGCTCTTGACGCCTTGAATTTGCGCCGATACTGTTGCCGCCGAATGTTGCTGTCTCACGTCGACTTGATAGAGAAGCTCCTGAATTACCATCCACTTGAGAAGTGAAAGTACACTGTGTATAAGGTGATGAGAGTGTATGTTCTAAAATGTTTGTTTGTACACTCCCTGTGTTTCTCTACGTTACTGCTTTGTTACGATAGAAGTTGAACTTCTTATGTGCTCTTCCGAATATTTGTTTTGTTTGTCATTGTTCGCCCTATAAACATGATTCACCCTTCTTGAGGATAATCGCTTTGTGGTTCCAAACCGCAACAAGTACTGATACCTTTCGGTAGTTTTTGTAATTTTAACTTCTTTTCGTTCTCTTTTTCGATTCTTGAAAGGTCCAGACTAGCTCCTTCTTTGCACTTGCAAAAAAGTCATGACAAACCTTATTCTTAAATGGAATTTGGTTGGTTATGTGTAATTGTAAATGGTTAATCACTATTTTACGGACACAGCAAGGTGTGCCGTTTGCGTGTTCGCGAAATGTACTGCAACCGTCCCGGTTGCTTCATCGTAATTTTAAATGCGCTGAAGTTGCGATTTGAACCAGACAGATGCTGCTTGATGTAAGCTTCTCTTCGGAGAGCGGGGAGGAGTCTTAATTTTTTGCTTTCCTGTTGTTTGCTTTTGCATTGCAACGCTTTTTTGAGGCAGAACTTCTCGGGACAATTTTTGAGGGATTAACTCTTCCGTCCAGGCCGAAGGACAGCATGAGCGCGTCGGTTAGTGCTAACCGCAGCTCATGACGTGTCGTGGTGGGGTTCGTGGTTTCATAGCGCTTCTGTGATTCAGATTGTGCGTTCATCATATCCTGCCACGAACATTTATATGGATACGGTTCACGAATGGGCACCACTTAGATGTCGGTCAGACTCTGCGATGGCATCGCGAGATGCAGTCGCTTGTGCACATTGCAAGAGCGACTGCATCGCGCGATGCAATCGCAGAGTCTGACCGACATCTTAAAGCAACGTCTCAACATTTATGGTGTGGAGCGATGCGCTAGCCCTAGTCAAGAACATAAGAAGTGACTGAACAAAAAACTCACCTTGAAAAAGAAAGGGAGCTGAACGGCTTCGAAGTGGGCGTGGTTGCTCAGTCGGCTGCAATCCCCTCGGCCGACTTCCAACCACGCCCACTTCGGAGCCGTTCAGCTCCCTTCCCAGCGGCTTTCCAATGTGAGTTTTTGGTGACGCAGCAGCTTTTTATCTCAGCAGCACTAATTCAAGCTTTGCAGGAGAAGAAAGCCTCAAGGAGTGTGAACGTTTTGCTTGTGAGAGGACTTGGCCTGCATTAAAGTGGGAGTATTTGTCATGGTTCGGGATGCCTTGAGTGCTCTGCTCCGCGGTACCCTTCTCCCCCTCGTACGCTAGCACCCAATGTGCCTGGTTGTCCGCACCTCAGCTTGCCGATCTTTTCTTGGAGTGGTATGCATGTAATTTTACGCAATATGGTTAGAAAATTCAAGCGGACCATGCGACTGCGCGGGACTAACGCTAGGGAGAAGAAGAAGGATAGGAAATCCAAGCCTAAGAAGTTTCGTCCAGGAGCCTCACAGACCGCACCGTTACTTAGGATAAAGTCTCTGAGGGTGAGCAATCTGTCTTTTCGTTCTCAAGGGAGGAAATAAGCTTCAAATCTCCCATAGCAATGTTTCCTCTGTTGGACAGCAGGTGTGACGTGCATGCGTGTTCCCACCATTTCTTGAAAATAATCAATCTCTTGTATGCCTGCGCCCAACCATCCCGTAAGAGGGTACGCCCTTGGTTTGCCACGGTTGCATCTCTTCGGCCCCTTCCGATATTCACTCTCCATGTAAGTCACATTTGAAAGGGTACTAATTTTTCGCGCTGAAGGACAGGCAAGGACCCTGGGGCTGCGCAACATCCTGGGGATTGGCCCGTGAATCAATCTCGATAACTACTACTCAAGTTCACAGTTCATTGAGCTAATCCATTCTGGACTTTGGTAACGGGTTTTTCTGTAAAGTTGATACATGACTTACAACTGTGGATCTAAATTCAATTACTAAAGGTACACCTCATTGACAAACGATTCCAATCTGGATCCAGTCGTGGCGCCCATGCCAAACCGAGTCCGTAGTCCTCCGACCGCATTCCGATCGCTTTTACTTTTTGTTTCTTATCCGCTTTTTTCCCATAATGAAGTATGAATGAATTCCGTCTCTTAATCGGGCGCATTCCCGCAATTGGTGCCGATCTCCGCGACAGGGGGGGGGCCGAAATTGCTGAAATGGAAATGTTGCATCGTGAAGAATGCACCATGTTCACATTACCTAATTATTCTATAGCCTTTCCCTCATCTTGATTCGCACCCTTATCCTAGCCGCAGCCTATACTTGAAGTCACCTTAGCCTAACTCTACCGTAACCAGAACTAGACCTGGGATGGGGTTAGGATGGGTGGCTCTGGTTATGTTTGGAAACGTTAGATTAACGCTTGGAGATTAGCATGCTCTCAGAAGAGAACTCAAATATTCACTTGGAAGGCAGTGTTCAGCAGATGCAGCGAAATTCCCACCAATTTCGGCAATTGCGAGGTCGCGCCATGCGCGGAATTCGCTATTAGCCAAATTTCCTTCCAATTGCCGTTTAGATACTTCTAGCGTGTAAACTCAACATTTTTGGTGATCGTACACGAAAACGCTACTGTTCATTCCTATTCTTGTTGCATAACTTAAGCTTTGCTTATCATTTTGTCACGCTTATTTGGCCAACCATGTATGCTGTCATCGCTGCAAACTGGAAATTACAATAAAACCACGACTAGTCCTGCCCAATTTTCATCAGTAGTTGTAATTTGCACGCTAAGCGATACCCATCAAACCTCTCCTTTTGCTGTTATTCATATGCCGCTACCAAACTACTTTGACCGGTTTTCAGCTCTCACTTCCGGCTCGACACAGGGGAATGTGATGATTCATTTCCTTTCTAACTATTTTCTCTTTGAGGAGACCGCTTTTTGAAGCCTTCATTTGTGCGTGCACTGAAACCAGGTCCACTCAATATCGATTTGTTCAATTTTCTTCTGGCGGGTTACGTTACTCCCCACACTATTAGCCCATCACTGAGAATATGGTAGAAAATGCAAAAGCACAAACTCTCAGAACGTGTACTGCAATGATTTGCAAGACTGGCCTTTCCCTGAACCTATGTATGCTTTCTCCAAGACTTGTTTGCTCTCAAGCGAAGCTCATGGTCCGATTCCCCGAACCGCGCTACTGGTTTTTCATGTACTCTTGTTTTCCGTCCCATATCTACTACGGTACTGTAAGTTCATGCTGATTTTTCCTTTCTAACTCATTTTTCATGCTGATTTCCGTTTCCAGTTTCAGTTTATTAGAAGAAAATCCACCTTATTCAGAATTTTGTTGAATCCTGCTCGAGCCTCCACTATCACTTATGGGTCAGCGATGGGTTCCGCTGACCTGTAGATGGCTTCCGCTGTCTCCAATCCATCCGTGCTATTTCTCATCTCCGGCACCGACCGACCTCCGCGCGCGCTCCTTTCGTTCATTTCGATTCTGTCGTCGTCTCAACCACTCGTTGCACCGGTTTCTTCGCGTTCGTGCACGTTGGCTGCTTGACTCCACGTTGGAACTTTCAGTTGAATTCGATCTTTCTACTTGAAAGCTGATTTATTTGTTTTAGCTGTCAGACTTTACTGTTTGCTAGTGCTTTCCATGAATTTTTATTGATTCATTTATTCTCCTCGCAATGAAAAACGCATTTGCACTTTTAAACGGATCAGTGTTGTACTGGATTGGCTGTCCTTGATTGCTAGTCCTTCTCTTGAACCTATAGTTGTTCATGAATGAGGACAGTGAAAGTAAATAATAAGGGCATCGTCACCGTCACCATAACTGCTGAACCGTTTCTCATCGCTTTCTTTTTGCCGATCGATCTGCGTCTGTCTGTGTCCGTCAGAGTTTGACTAACACCTGCCACATACGGAAGTGCAGCTTTCAGAAATATCACTTCAATCGTGCTAGTGGGGTATTAAGTACAAAAAGTGATTATCCACTCGTCGTGACCTTTAATCTGGCTGAGGCTCCAGAAAGTGCATCAGTATTGGATGGAGAACTCTCCATCCAGGCAAACCTAGCGGAGTCTGTGGTGTTGCTACAATCTTTGCTTGTATGAATTTTGGTTTAATTTATGTCATAAATGATGTGAAGTAGCGCAGTTGCCAGAGGCTTGACGGCGCTGCCTCACAGGTTACAGATCATATGTGGAGGCGGGCCTACATTGCTTTCTTACCATGACTGCTTATTTGATATCAAACTTGTTAGAGAGCGAGTACCAGGAGGCCAACCCACTTCTATTGATGACTGTTCAGGTCCATATGCTCCCTCATACTTCCCTATTTTGAATTGAATATGGAAGGAGGATGCTTGTTAGGGACTATCAAGGTCAAGCACTTTTCCTCTTTATGCTCTTTATGCACTCTGCACTTATGTGTGGGATGGTGATTTACATAGTTCTCAAGTCGGTTTCGTGGGCGCAGGGAGTCTAATTTCCGTCGTCTGC